TCGGGGGATCGGTGGGATTTCAAAAAGAAATTAAAGACGATGGGCAATTAGAAACGAGGGTAGAAAATATATTAGTAAAGGGGGGAGAGGAAGTTGAGGGAATGTTATTAGAAAGTAGGGTAGAGAGTGTATTGGTTAACGTAGAAGAGGGAGATGAGGGTAGGCAATTAGAAAGAAAGGTAGAGAGTGTATTGGTTAACGTAGCAGAGGAATATGAGGAAAGGCCATCCGAAAGAAGGGTAGAGAATGTGTTGGTGAACGTGGAAGAGGAATACGAGGAAATGGAATTAGAAAATAAGATAGAGAATGTGTTAGTGAATGCAGAGGAAATGGGATTAGAGAGAAGGGTAGAGAATGTACTAGTGAATGTGGAAGAGGCGTATGAGGGAATGCATTTAGAAAGAAGGGTAGAGAACGTGTTAGTAAATATAGAAGAGAGGGAATTCGAGACGAGAGAAGAAGAAGAGGAAAGTATAGGATGGAGTGAAAGTAGAGATAGCTCGTTTAGTGATGATTCGATGGATTTTTACGAAGGAAGTTTAAGCTACGAAGAGTCAGACGATGATATCTCAGATACAGTGGAAATATGATATTGGAGAGATGCGGTTTTTTTTTTTTGCTACAAGGATCAGTTTAGACAGGAAGCTGTTGTCGCTTCATGTCCCAAATTTTTTCAAGAGCTTGCTTGTCAGTAATAAAGATTTTCTTGTCGTGTGCAATTACATGAAGTATATACAAGTGGTCCTATATATTTCGTGACTCGTACGTTTCAGTTAAATACTGGTGATATTTTTTGATTGATGTTTTCTTGGAAAATAACAAAGTAATCAACTATATCCTTAAGATATTGGGGACGCAAGTCAGGAATAGTGACCATATACACACGTGAGCTTCGCGTTTCGTCAATATCATATCGATAGACGTTAAATTTAGTATCAGTCAAATCCGCTTTGCTCCTGTTATGTAATTGTACTGTACATTGAAACTTTATTTTCTTCACCATGGTTGTTTTATTACCAAGCCTTTTTGAGCCGTGTGGCTTATCTTCAACTGGTTTAAAACCGGAGTAAAGTGTCGTTCGATAATGCGTCATTCAATTCAATGTTGTGTGTCTTGTACTGTAACACGCTTTTTATTTACCGAGAAACGGCAACAACGTCATATAATGCAGTGAGTGGTTTCTGATACATGTGGGGTCCGCTGACAGATCCTATAGCAGTAATATACGTAAATCGTTAAGGGATACTACGGTATATGCGATGGAAATGACAAATTGGTTGTCAGCTGCGCTGTATGGTAATCAGGAAGTTCAATATAGTGCGACAAAGTTAGAGACTAGTATACTAATATATTTTCTACCCTCGTTTCTAATTGCCCATCGTCTTTAATTTCTTTTTGAAATCCCACCGATCCCCCGA